CCCTCCCCCTACGCCTGGGGGCCCCGCTCAGCTCCTCCCCTGCTGCTGCCTGCGCCCCCCGTCCCGGCCCCCTCCCCCTACACCTGGGGGCCCCGCTCAGCTGCTCCCCTGCTGCTGCCTGCGCCCCTCGTCCCGGCCCCCTCCCCCTACGCCTGGGGGCCCCGCTCAGCTGCTCCCCTGCTGCTGCCTGCGCCCCTCATCCCGGCCCCCTCCCCCTACGCCTGGGGGCCCCGCTCAGCTGCTCCCCTGCTGCTGCCTGCGCCCCTCATCCCGGCCCCCTCCCCCTACGCCTGGGGGCCCCGCTCAGCTGCTCCCCTGCTGCTGCCTGCGCCCCTCATCCCGGCCCCCTCCCCCTACGCCTGGGGGCCCCGCTCAGCTGCTCCCCTGCTGCTGCCTGCGCCCCTCATCCCGGCCCCCTCCCCCTACGCCTGGGGGCCCCGCTCAGCTGCTCCCCTGCTGCTGCCTGCGCCCCTCATCCCGGCCCCCTCCCCCTACGCCTGGGGGCCCCGCTCAGCTGCTCCCCTGCTGCTGCCTGCGCCCCTCATCCCGGCCCCCTCCCCCTACGCCTGGGGGCCCCGCTCAGCTGCTCCCCTGCTGCTGCCTGCGCCCCTCATCCCGGCCCCCTCCCCCTACGCCTGGGGGCCCCGCTCAGCTGCTCCCCTGCTGCTGCCTGCGCCCCTCATCCCGGCCCCCTCCCCCTACGCCTGGGGGCCCCGCTCAGCTGCTCCCCTGCTGCTGCCTGCGCCCCTCATCCCGGCCCCCTCCCCCTACGCCTGGGGGCCCCGCTCAGCTGCTCCCCTGCTGCTGCCTGCGCCCCTCATCCCGGCCCCCTCCCCCTACGCCTGGGGGCCCCGCTCAGCTGCTCCCCTGCTGCTGCCTGCGCCCCTCATCCCGGCCCCCTCCCCCTACGCCTGGGGGCCCCGCTCAGCTGCTCCCCTGCTGCTGCCTGCGCCCCTCATCCCGGCCCCCTCCCCCTACGCCTGGGGGCCCCGCTCAGCTGCTCCCCTGCTGCTGCCTGCGCCCCTCATCCCGGCCCCCTCCCCCTACGCCTGGGGGCCCCGCTCAGCTGCTCCCCTGCTGCTGCCTGCGCCCCTCATCCCGGCCCCCTCCCCCTACGCCTGGGGGCCCCGCTCAGCTGCTCCCCTGCTGCTGCCTGCGCCCCTCATCCCGGCCCCCTCCCCCTACGCCTGGGGGCCCCGCTCAGCTGCTCCCCTGCTGCTGCCTGCGCCCCTCATCCCGGCCCCCTCCCCCTACGCCTGGGGGCCCCGCTCAGCTGCTCCCCTGCTGCTGCCTGCGCCCCTCATCCCGGCCCCCTCCCCCTACGCCTGGGGGCCCCGCTCAGCTGCTCCCCTGCTGCTGCCTGCGCCCCTCATCCCGGCCCCCTCCCCCTACGCCTGGGGGCCCCGCTCAGCTGCTCCCCTGCTGCTGCCTGCGCCCCTCATCCCGGCCCCCTCCCCCTACGCCTGGGGGCCCCGCTCAGCTGCTCCCCTGCTGCTGCCTGCGCCCCTCATCCCGGCCCCCTCCCCCTACGCCTGGGGGCCCCGCTCAGCTGCTCCCCTGCTGCTGCCTGCGCCCCTCATCCCGGCCCCCTCCCCCTACGCCTGGGGGCCCCGCTCAGCTGCTCCCCTGCTGCTGCCTGCGCCCCTCATCCCGGCCCCCTCCCCCTACGCCTGGGGGCCCCGCTCAGCTGCTCCCCTGCTGCTGCCTGCGCCCCTCATCCCGGCCCCCTCCCCCTACGCCTGGGGGCCCCGCTCAGCTGCTCCCCTGCTGCTGCCTGCGCCCCTCATCCCGGCCCCCTCCCCCTACGCCTGGGGGCCCCGCTCAGCTGCTCCCCTGCTGCTGCCTGCGCCCCTCATCCCGGCCCCCTCCCCCTACGCCTGGGGGCCCCGCTCAGCTGCTCCTCTCAAGCCGAGCACCCTCCCCTAGTGGACATTGGCCAGCACTAACCCACGGCTGGAGCCAGGGCTCAGCCATTCTGCCCGGTGGCTCTGCTGGCGCTTGCCTGCACTAGGGCTCTGTGCAGGTGCAACAACTCATTCCATGCCCCGCGCCAGCCCCCAGTGCTGCCCCTCAGAAACCAGACTCAGCCAGGGAGCCTGCTGCCGCTGCCCTCCAGCCCTTGCTGACTCTGTGCTCAGATCTGAAATGCTGCACTTGCCAGACTGGATCAGCCCTGGGCTCTCCCCTCTCCCCCCTGCCCCCCCCCCATGCTGCCAGCTCCAGACCCTGCGTCTGAGGGGGATGCAAACAGCTGAGAGGCAAGTGCAAGCAGGTGTGGGGAGGCTCCCGCCAGAGGGCCCCTCCTACTCTCCAATAATTGGAGCCCAGCTCAGGCCCTGAGGCTTAATTGTGGTGCCACTGTACATGAGTGTTAATAACTGGGGGTTGCTGTTAAATGTCCTGGGAAATGCCCATGGCCTGCGTGATCTGAAATGTTTGGCCTCAGTGATCATGGGGCAGTGAGTTCCCCTGGTTACTGGCTTTCTGAAAACAATGATTCTCCTCTTATCAGTTCCACTTTGCTGCCTTTGACTGCAAGGCCCAGTGTCTGCTGTAACAGCCCCCGGCCCTTCTTCCCCCCTCCCCCGAGGCTGGGGCACGCACTTGAACTCCCTGACCCAGGGCAGCATGCGCAGGTCCTCCTCGCTGCACAGGTGCATGTAATCCCCGCCCGTGTGCCAGGGGTAGAAGGAGTGGAAGCGAATCATGTAGAAAGCCTGCGAGAGGAGAGAGAGGGAGAGGGGCAGCCGTGGCCCGAGCTCCCCTGTGCCACCGGCTCCTTTCCGGTCCCTGGAGCCCAATCTCCCATTTGTGGCCCTTTGGGGGCCATGTCTGCAGAGCCTTTGTGGGGGGTGGTATCGGCCCTGTGCCAAGGGAGCAGCTGGGAATCGCTGGAGCCAGAAGGATGAGCCGGTGAAGGCTTCCTGCTCCAGCAGGGGGCAGTGCCAGCCAGCCAGCAGGGGGAAGGGCAGGGCCAGATGCCCCGGGGAGGGGGCAGGGGACAGTCCCGTGGGAGCAGCTCGGGGGGGACTGGCATGGATCCGTTCTCACAACCCGGCCCCCGTTTCACCCCCACTGCCCTTAAAAGCCAGATCTCCCCCCCCCCCCCCCCAGCCCCTCACCCCCCGGG